CAAGATGTGCGGTGTCAGAGGCAAACGCTGTGGTGGTGACTGGCAATATGCATTCGTAAATACTTTCGTATGTTTTGCATTAGTTGACTGACTCGATGTTGGGCTGTATTCGTGCGTCTAAAAGTATACGGGAATCGTTTGCAGCAGTCAAAAAGCAGAGTTTCGGTTAAGTTGAACGGAGACGGACTTTCGATTTTTGTCTCTTGTTTAGGAACTTTTTTAACTCTTAAATATAAGAAACTTTTGTATCATTCCGTACGATATTTTAAAGCAGTGATTTCAATTTGCTAAAATGTATTTTGTAGCGAGATTATGATGATTTTTTATATGTGAAATCACTTAAGCATTGTAAAAAAGTGAAAAGTCCCCTTCCAATTTCATCACAACACTTGAGCATCGATTGAGATAAAATTGATTAGTTATTTGCTAAAAACTCTAGCAATATGTCACTAGCCAGCGCTGCAGGTATTTTGCTAAAGCCACAGACTCCACTACAGCAACTGCTTGAGGATATAAATTTTCAACGTACAAAGGAAATGCGACAATTGCTCAAAGATGGTAAGTATTATTATTATTATTTTTTTTTTTTAATTATTTGTTAAATTTGCGTGGTTAGTGCGTTTTACATTAACCTATCTACGCCATGGAAAATTGTCTACATTCGTACTTTATCGATTTATCAAAAATTTCTTTATCCTGTGCCCCGATGTGCAATTGTTCTGTTGCTGTTGTGTACATATGATACTCGGAATTGTGTCTGCCCGAAAAAGGTGGCACACATGTATGTGCATGTATACCTAATCATTTTTTAAATTCGCATAGTTCCTACATCTATGTAATTGATCATTATATAACTACCTATGTGCATACATACCAACATCTACATGTTTGTATGTTTAGAAATTCATCGCCAAATGTTAAGGGTGCTTTTGTGTTTTCCATCCTATCGATCTGTTCAAGTAGCGCTCAACCGGCTTTTTTTATTATCTTTTATGCTGCTGATTCATAATATTACTTATTTTATATGCTTGAGGGTTCCTTGTTTGGATTTCGTTCTTATCTGTATACAAATATCAATAGAAAATATAGGTGGATGCATTTGAGCAATCATATCTGTGAAAATTTGAAAGAACAACTTAAGTCTATCTTTCACGGGAAAACAAAAAATGATTTACCACCAAAAAGGAAAATGTTTTAATTCAAAAGAAATACAAACATACATAACTATTTTCTTTACTATCCACAACCTTTTAAAATGTTTCTGTTTACAACTGTGTGTTTTCTTTTAAATAAAATGTATTGCTCGGGCGGTAAAAAGGGCTCTGTTGTTGTTCTTTCAAATGTCCACAGATATGTATAGGACTAATGTTAGTAGTTTTTGTTAACTTTAAGTTAGGTACATGGATTAAGCAAATATTTTTTTTATGAACATTTAATAATATCCTCCAATTTTCAACAGACAGTGGTTTTGTGGTCCTCCAAGGTACTACATATTGGACAGATTTGTTTGTACGCCATTTCTTGTTTCAAACTGAACCCGTACATAGCATCGATTCAGATGATTTACTTTTCTTTGTTCGCAAAAAACACGTGAAAAGTTCCTCCCGACATATGCCAAAATATGAGGTAAGTTGTATTTAATGCAATACGATAGTCCTTTCGTAGATATCTCTAGAAACACTTCCTCGATACAAATTTAAATATGAAAAGCATTAGATATGTAATATAATTTATGTATTTAAAATGATCATTGTTCATTTAATTTTAAAGACAGAAGTTGATGTGTTTCGGAAGGACTCCAGAAAACTTCCGATTGGTGATCCGGATGTCGATTGGGAGGAAACTGTCTATCTCAATATGGTTATACATCAATTCGATTATACACTCACATTAGCAATTTGTACGCGCACATCGCCAAAGGAATTACAGGTGTTGAGACGCCACTCACAACGCGTATACGCTAGTCCAAGTCGTCGGAAAATGGACACTAAAGGTGAAGGCGAGGAGATAACATACCCACATATTTGCTTTATGGTAGATAATTTCGATGAGGTAAACAATTGTGAATTACTTGAACAAAATTAGTATTGAAAATTTGCGCATTTTTTACAGGTTTTCAGCGACATCTTAGTGCGTGACGGTGAAATGGTTTGTGTGGAATTGGTGGCCAACGACAAAGATGGTTCTGTGCAGGGTGTAATATTTCTTGGTTCAATACGCTATGATGCCCTCAAAAAAGTGTACGATGCGAGGGTAAGTTCGTAACTTCGATAATGAAAAAATAATGTTTGAAATTATATTAATTTAAACAGCAATCAAGCCTCAGCTCTAAAGTTGCGCAACGCATGTCTTTTGGCCTATTTAGCAGTGGTGCGGGTGTGCAAACACGCTGTGAATTCGTTCGAATGAAGGGTCCACAGGGTAAAGGCCATGCCGAAATGGCTGTTACAAAGCCGAAAGGCTCAGGCGTGGAGACACCAACAAGTGAACCAGGGTGAGTAAAAAAGTATTATACGCATTTGTTCCCTTTTTTAATTGGGGTAGATTATTTAGATTATGAAACAAATATTTAGAGCTTATACTCTTGCTAAATGTTTGTCCAAGCCTCTCCCCCAAATTGTGACGTACGTCCTGATATTAAAACCTACAATTTTAAGTTGCCTAAGGGCGGCAAATGGTTGTTGTTGTTGTAGCAGCATATAAATTCCCCAAAGACTTTTTGGGGAGTGTTGCTGGAGTGACAGTCCTTGGNTTCTTGCTAAATGTTTGTCCAAGCCTCTCCCCCAAATTGTGACGTACGTCCTGATATTAAAACCTACAATTTTAAGTTGCCTAAGACCGGCAAATGGTTTAATGTGATGCTTTTTCAAGACAGAAATACACTCTGAGGTTTGCCATTGTCTGGCAACAGCTGTTAGAAACAACTTTTTCTAGTTTTAGATTTTGCTCGGGCCAAACATAGAACTTAGACACTCAACGAAGCGGTAANCCCGACTGTCGTGGCAAATGGTTTAATGTGATGCTTTTTCAAGACAGAAATACACTCTGAGGTTTGCCATTGTCTGGCAACAGCTGTTAGAAACAACTTTTTCTAGTTTTAGATTTTGCTCGGGCCAAACATAGAACTTAGACACTCAACGAAGCGGTAAGATGCACCTCTAACCACTCGACTACAGTGGGCGTCCAGCAAAAGTGTGAGCAATTTTTTTGTAATTTGTTGAAAAAAATTTGAAACAAAGCTCACCTGCCTCTGATGCATGATTAGCATGTGCAGAGGAATAGTTTTGTACTTTTCGGTCGACGAGAAATTTGAGCTTAACGCTTTGAAGAACGTTTGCATGTAAATTAGGTCTGGAACTATCGGTGTAAGTATTCGAATATTCTTGCATATGGATAAAATCAGGTATACGAGTATCGTTATTATTTGTAGTTTTATTATCCAATTATCCTATTATCCGGTTAATTTCCGTTCATTCGGTTGTCCGGATATGCGGATATTTTAAACAGTCCGTGAAATTGTTTTCAAAATTACTAAATCTATCGAGTTGCAAAATAAATAACATGCTGCTACGCCCGAAGCAAAACTTTGTGCAGGTTGTAGGGAGGGTCGGACATACATCAAAATATGTAAAATATGTTTCTTATAGTTCCTGAACCCTCCACTTAAAAAAAAATAGAAAAAAATGTATTTTCGTACTTGATTCATCAAAGGTGCAACTTATTCGGAAATATCTATAGTAAAAACTTTGAATTAACTTTCACATTAACATTAACATTAGTACCAATTTTCAGCTTTAGTCGAAATTGTAAGTTTACCCCTATTTATTGGATTAACTTGATTGGGCTACAAACAAATAAATTCTTCAATCGATTTCAATTTTATATATAAGTACATACAAACATATATATTCTAAATCTCAATCAAATCTGACCAATCGTCCACCCCTACCTAATTTTTTGTGTAGTTATTTCTTTCAGTAAAGGCAATATATATTTACATATATTCCAATATAAACCAGGCACGGTAATCATTACGTGTAAAATAATTTAAATAAGCATTTAATCTTTATATTATGATTTTTTCACTTAAAAATAATAATTATTATTGAGTTTTATTTTTTCGCTCAACGGAAATAATTATTATTTGATTTTTATTTTTTCGATCACAAATATGATTTTTATTTTTTCGCACAGATTATTATTAAGTTTTATTTTTCCACTTAAAAATAATGATATTTATAAAATTTAAAAGGTTATACAGACGCAACCAACTGAAATCTTGACCTGCAAATTTTGGNGTTAAACTCGATAAATAAAAATCATTGTAAGTTACAATAGTTCGTTAAAATTGTTTTACGATGATTACAACTTGTCGTGTTTTTGGTTAAGATTTAAAAAATAATGATTATTTCCCTGATGCCAAATCGGACCATTTATGCGGCTTACGAACCCTGGCCCACCAATCGGTGAAATTTTTTATGTAGTTATTTTTTTGAATAAAGGCAACATACATATTTACATATATGCCAAATATAAACCAAATCGGACCATATATACAGGCTTCCGAACCCTGGCTCTCCTATCGGCAAAATTCCATGTAATTAGCATATATTCTAAACATGAGCTAAATGGACCATAGATTCGATGTTTTCGAATTATATCCACCCCGCGTCACCAACCGGCTACATTTGTATGGCATACGATTTACTTAGTGATATTTGCTTGGCCTTATCGGATTTTCGCTGCCTCTTTTGGACTTAGCAAAGTTGCCTTTCTTTGAATGTAAACTAGTAAAAATAAAACCTTCTCAAAACGATGCATTTTTAGATTCTCTTGGTTCCTATATCAAAATATGAGTTTTCATAAGATTGCAACTTTCACTTTAAGTTAGTGATATGTGAAATGTATGTACGCCTGTGTTGAGGTTAAGATGTTATATGTAAGTGTGAACATCCAGATGGCCATTTTAAATATTTTGTATACGGTAATTTGTTTTAGTTTAAGCTTCTTTCAAAAGGCACTCTTTTCAATGGTCTAAATAAAAAATGTATGAAAATTCCAAATGAAATTAAATTTTTAAAAGGTATAGGAAAAATTCCTCTTAGCATACTTTCTTAAAAATCGCACATCGTTATTGTTTACTTCTATCTTTTACAGATTTTGTGCAACAGATATGTGGGACGAGTGGGAGGAGGAAAATGATGACTACTGCACTTATCGTCATCAGCGGCGCCTAAGTGATCCCAGCGCTAATTTAAATAATTTCTCTAGGTACGCTTGGCGTACAAAAGGCGCACCTGATGCAGTCGGTGGTACAGCGGGCGCTAAGGCGCGTTCTGAAAACGAAGGACTCGATTCGCTGGCAAATGAGGTGTCAGAGATTGAAGCTGGCGATTTACGTGATGGTAAGCACTAACATTTTAATAAATTCTAGACTTTTGTATTCGTTTAACTACTCGAATTTTAAAAATACCTATTAGCGGTTAATAATAATGTGTCTTTATTTAACATTAATTTATCACGCCTTCAGTTTAAAGCGCTTATTGAATTGTACGTTAACTCAATGTTTATGAAATGAGCGCTTACTACAACTGCGTGATAAATGCATATTTCATGTATTAGTTTATTTTGTAATTTTCTAATTTTCTATAGACTTTCGGTATAGAGCTCATATCTCATTATCATTCGCTGCTATTTACAACACTTTCATCACACAATTTTACTCCTGCATGTTTTTAATAAATCGTCGTTTAAAGTAGAAAATCGCGTATCGTCGTTCCGCTCACACAGGCTCTTGGCTCAAGCCGTAAACCATTCGTCCTGAAATATACTCGCCAGATATGCGATTGCTTTATAAAAAAAGAGGATCATTTGAAATATGCGTGTTTTTACTCTCTAGAAAATAATTTATGCAACCTCACATACGCGGTTTTGCATTTTCTTGATATGCGGTTTTGTAATTTAAACGGCGAAATATGTACGTATGTATGTAGAGATATATAAATCTTTTAACACTGTAATTCATGTTTCTAAACACAATCTTTGAAAAAAACAATTCTTTACTTTTATTACTTTTTTATTGTCGACTATATGGGTACACTGCGTATGAGCAACATGAGATTTTTAAATATTGCGCATACGCAGCGTCCACCTTTACATTAGACCGTACCACGAAGTATGGGCCTAAAAAGTTCAATTTGCTCCAAGCGATTTTCAACACTCACTACGAATGGTATATAAGGAAAGTAAAGAAAAAATGTTTCGGTACACTGTTAAAACAGCAACATCGGTTATTTTTCTATAACTTCTTTATTTGATGTCAGGTGATACATCGTTGTAAAGGGATTAACAAAACCTACAGTTGTATACATAGTACTATTAACATGTGTCATAAACTTTGCAAGTTAAGTTCTTTTTTTCTGAAAACGACGTCCTGTATGCATTATTATGTGTCAGAAAAATACTCTCCATGTCAAAACCCAGGAAAACAGGAGAAATATTTAATTTTCATTAAACAACCGCTAAGGTATTGTGAAAGGTTGCCAGCAGAGTGTTTGCTGGAAGATGTGCTATGCTATAAAATGCATTTAAAGCTGTTGTTGTTTCGTATGTATTTTGTTGCATAACTTCGCCTCTAGAAAATATAAGTAACTATGTAATTAAACCAAAGACCGTCCAAGCCCGTGTCTTCGACTTCCGACCACGAATAAATCATTTATCATGCCTCTGTAGCGTTTTCAGCAGCATTTTCAAAGAAAAATGGGCCAATGATGACACCGCTCCAAAATGGGCACCGAATTGTCACTCTATGAGAATGCTTTGGTTTCTCAACTATCACGGGGCTTTCCGATCCCCAGATGCGGAAGTTTTGTTGGTTAACATAACCTCCGAGATGAGAAGGCGCTTCGACAGAGAAGATATTTTTTTGTAGCAAAATCTTTGTCCATTTCGTTTGCATTATTTCCCAACGTAGTTCAAGCGTAAAGCGATACATTTCGTTCCGAGGATTATCTGTTCTAATTTCCAGCAGGAAAGAGCTGCCACTGACAAAATAAAAAATTATTAACAAAAAACGACTATATTCAGGCAGGTTCTGCGATTCACTTCCGAGTGAAATTCAACCAAAGCCACTTTGAATTTAAATTGAATGGAGTCAAAACTCACTCGGATTGAATTGCAGAACCTGCCTGATTGACCACCCGTTATATAGCCAAGGCGTACTTAATCATGGGAGAGTCTTTTTAAACTTCCTACACTAAAAAAAAAACAATATCCTTTTTCAAGTTAAATCACATATCGCATACCTAGATCTAAAGTGAGCTAACTCAAAATTCATAAAGGAAAATATAACCGCTTGTGGATCGTACAGATTCAAAGGAACTAAATAATACAAAAACAGGTATAACAGTAGTTTTTTAGTTAATATATATAATCATGAAGAAAAACATATTTTCATTAACTGGATGTAAGTCCTATGAATTGATTCATGCAAAAAAAATCGCCCTAATTTTTTTTTAGTTGGTCGCACATTAGATCAAGGTGTGCGGTATGATTTGGCGCCAAACGACCTTTTGTTTACTTCAAACAGATTTTATTTTGGATATATTTTCGTTTGAATACGATTTCATTCTGCACTTTACAGATGCTTTTTCGTAATTAGGTAAAACCGAAAAAAAAATCAAAAATTAGATGTTCCGCCTCATAATGTTCGGACCCTGCTGGAAGGTAACAAATAGTAGCAAGCACCTCTGCGCACTCAGCTGCAGCCACGACATGCAAGTGTGTTTTCCAATGAGCAATTTGCATCAAAGCCAAATCACGCGATTGGTGCATTTGTACGGATGGATGACAGGTACAGGGTGGCGTTGGTTGGACATTTTTTTTATTGAGAGAAACAAGCTTTTCACAAATTACCGACGTCCGCTGTAATTCTGGGTAGAGCTTAAACATGGAAAAACTTAAAATTACTCTGTTTGAAATAATCATGTTACTTTTTTCTTAGTATACTACTGATTACAAGGTGTCGTTTTCAAAAAAAAAAAAATATATATATATATAAAAATCATGCACTCCTGAACTATTTTCATAGTTAGTGTTCAAAATCGCTTGGAACAAATTGCACTTTTGTGATACAGTTTTTTTTGTCTCACAGTAATGGGACGATAACACCGAAACTTTAACAGCAATAAACTTTTTTTTGTAAACTTTTGTACTGGGGTTTAGCTACCTCAGACATTGGAATTAAAGGCGAAATTTTTAATTATCCTTTATGCCTTTATAATTTCAATAACGCAAGATTAATTTTTTAAGAGACGCGAAAATTAAAATTTTCAGTTTTTATGCTCATTTGCCACAGCAGCTCCAACGCAGCAAATAAAAAGATATTTTCGGCTCATAAAAATTACCTCAAATCTATTAGAATGTTTTTTAATGCTGTAGAATTAACTCACAATCGGAAATAAACTATCGTTTTTCAGCGCAAAAATTGTATATTAGCTGCTGAATATAAGTTGAGCCTCGGGTACTGGTTTTAAATGCGTTTATCGACCTATCACTAAACATACTAAATACATATATTTACACTTATGCTCTTCTATAAACACTTTCTTTGAACTTACTTACCTATGTACATTTAATAAATTCTTAAAAGTTACATTTTATTTAATTTCGTATAAGTATTTAACTAATTCAATTTCGCTTGCTTTTGTTTCATATCCCACCCATCCTTTTCTTGTTAATGTAACGTATTGCTTGCTATACTTCGTCAAATATTTTATTTCCGTTTATAATTTGATCCAATCAAAGTGTTAAATTTATCACAAAACAAAGCTCTTCCACTACAAATTAGCATACAACTGCTAAGCAAAGCAAAAAAGTGTATCACAGCAAATGACTAGATTGCCGAGAAAGCAGGACTTGAAATACACACATTTATTTCATTTGTACAATTTTTACAATGCTCATTACATTACTTGACTCTACTTCAAAATCGTAACGCATATTTTACAATATTTTATAATTTTTTATTAAGTTTATCTGTTAAATTTGTAGCTCCTCCGGTGTGTGCAGTCCCCTGTTTTTAGTTAAAAGAATAGTAGAGACTAAGTATTATTGATGAATACATTTGTAATTAAATACAAACGCAATTTTGTCATTTCAAGTGCATACATGCCATTTAATATTAAACATAAACTAAACTTTTTTTGGTATTTGAGGGGCGGTAATCCAAACTCGAGTGGAAATTTGTCAAAATAAATTTCTAAAACGTAGTTACGAACTTTGGTTGGTAGCGGTGACCTAAATATATCAATTAATAATAATAGTAACAATATTCTGGTGCTAACAATTTTGAAAAGCTTCTCCTCCTATTCGTGGTATGCGTGGAGGCTTTTTCAGGGCAGAAATACACTTGTGATGCCAAATGCACTCTTCGTTCCCCTGTGATGTTGCGACGCTAACTCGGGATCAAACCATTTCATTGACGTAATGAACTTCGGCATTAGTCTAATATTAATTTCCGCTATCTCTGCATGATCTTGTAGAGAGGGCAGGCCTAGCAGTTTCACAGAAAGAGAGATTTCTCCAGCGTTCGATTACTGCTTGCGTGGTGCTGTTCCTAACATCTAGTTTGAAAGTGTTCTTCCCCGGAAGGTTGGAAGCGGTCGTACCATTCCTGACCAATTCGTCACCTTTGCTGTTGCTCTGAATATCTCGATGTCCAGGCACCTATATGAGTTGTATTCTATAATGCTGTGCCATTTCGTTAAGATATCTGCGGCGTTCACTGGGAGACTTTGTGTTGTCTATGCATGAGAAGATAGAGACCTGTATTTTTTCATTGGGTCCAAGTGGCCTCCTCGATAGCCAAAAATTCCGCGTAATACACACTGCAGTGGTCGGATAGCCCAAAAGATATTTCTAGTTCCAGCTCCGGGGAGAAAACTCCTCCCTCGACCTGTCCGTCGAGTATGTGTATGGGCGCCCTTGTTCTACGATTTACGAGTGGCGGGATATACCATGAGTCCAGTACCTTGCCCCTCAGAATCTTAAGGCTGCAATCGCGTTAAGTACATAGCTCCGCACTCCTTTATACCCTTTTGAATTATGCGCGGTTGTCTTACTAAGCGTAAGCCACCATACTAGGGCTCCGTAATCAGACGAAAAATGTCAGTGTAGATTCAGTGAATTAGGCTGTGGCTTTCTTGATGCGTTCCATGGTGTTATCGTTCCACAGCAGTTTGCTGTCGAGAATTATTCCAAGATACTTGGCAGTACGTTTTAATTCCAGGCTTGAGCCATAAAGTTTAGGGGGTCTAAGAGCCGCAACGTCATCGGCATATATGACAACCCCATATTCATCCGCCTCCATTCGCCGCAACAGTTGGTTCACGGTAACTACCCATAGGAGTGCAGAAGGAGTGGAGTGCCCTCCTGATAGACTTGTGAATCGCCTGTCGATCAATTCNAAAGTTTAGGGGGTCTAAGAGCCGCAACGTCATCGGCATATATGACAACCTCATATTCATCCGCCTCCATTCGCCGCAACAGTTGGTTCACGGTAACTACCCATAGGAGTGCAGAAGGAGTGGAGTGCCCCTCCTGATAGACTTGTGAATCGCCTGTCGATCAATTTTGAGCTCATCACGCTACTGGTGAGCAATTGGTGGATGATCCTCACGAGAGTTTTATTCACCCATAAGATCGATTCCTCACCTTTTGAGACTAGCTAGTGGAAAAAGTCTCCGTAGATTTGTCTTTGCTGTAGGCATGCTGCGCATTAGATAAAAGAGCTGGGTTAACGATTGTCTTTTAGTCTCCAAAAGTCTTTCCAGAGTCTTAAGTAGAAAAGAGGTAAGAATAGGCCTAAAATCGTCAGGTTTGGAAGAGGCTCTGCCTGCTTTTCGATCCTTAATCAGCTGGAGAAGATGGTTTTAGCCATGGGTTTGTAAGTTTCATGGTATGTTGTCGCTGGCCCGGATATATACCATCTGGTCCTGGCGGCTTATACGACATGAAATTAGATAAGTCCAACAGTTTTCCTGTCACTTATGATTTCGCTGATAAACTGTGGTGTAGCTTCGGCTGATTCTGAATCATACAATGTATTATCAGTACAAGAAATATTCGTTTGAATATAGCTGGGTACCGTAGGTGAGTTTTCGAGTACCTTTCACGTCAATCAAGGTTATTTAGATCCCAGGACCACAAGGGAGGTTTATATGCTTGCTTTGTTTTCCTCTTGGAATATGCTTTAGTTAGTGCTGTATCGCAACTCTCAACAAAAACACTAACTAATAACGTGGCTCAGAAGGTAGATTCTTGTATAAAATTTTTCTATAATACCCCCAATCAGTTCTTCTGAAATTTTGTATCTCTTTAGAAACGGGGGTATGTTAAATTCTATTATCCTGTGGTCCGAGAAATAGTCCTCTTCCAGGACCTTCCACCCCGAGATCCGATCACTGAAAAATTCACTTACGAGGGAAAAGTCAAGAGCTTCCCTGTGTTTGGTGTTGAAAAACGTAGCGCCACTTCGCTTATTGCAGATAGACTCCCGTACTGTTGTTGAGGTTTTTGGCTTGTTTTTATTGTCCATAATCTGGTCCAACGAGACGCAGAGAAAGGGGAACGTCAGCCGGACAGAGATCCGCTGTACCCGGGTAAGGCTAGTTGGATACGAAGGTTACCGGGTATCCGGAGCACTCCGCTCACTACTGGACTTGGTGAAGGGCCCCCAGCCAGGCTGATCCTCGGCACGGGTCAGATGATACCTTTATACGGTCCTGAAAAAGGAGGGAAGGGGAAAACTGGCAGGGATTTAGGTCTGAAGGAAAGCATGGGGGTCGTGAGGGCGTAACCAGGTGTCACCACCGGGAGGCCCATTGTACTGGGGGGTGCTAATAGCAACGCAATTGAACACCTACGAGTCGACATTACGGGATGTCGCATGTGTGCAAATCGATCACCCCCATAAAAGACACTACTCACGGAAAAAAGGGGCGTAATTTTTTCTCATCATAAAATTATTCTTTGTAACTGTTCGAAGTGTTTTTTGTCTGTAGCTGTTGTCCGATACTATATGAAAATTGGTTTTCAGATCAGGCCAATCTGTCTGGCTTGTCAGTCAGTTAGTCGTTCGAACCCGCTATCCATGGTACGTGACATTCTTACTCGTCTGTAACTTTGTTTTACTAGGAGGTCAAATTTTGTTCTTTTCCCAGTTTTCCAGGGCCAGCCGGCCCTTTTAGAACCAACTGACATATTTCTAAATCATTTTACCTGTCTAAAATCAATACTCCTTTTATTTCTTAACTGATGCATTACAAAACTGTTTGGTTTTTAAGATTATTAAATGCTCTGGACACCTACAAAAAAACCTGTAAATCGGCCTGCCTTCCCACCGATTATTCGTTTTTTTTTTTTCTCCTCCAACGCTGACCACTAGCGTCTATCCTATTTCCATTTACTCTGCATATTCTCTTCCCATTGCCGACAATTAATTTTAATACATTCTACTGCTCCTTTATTTCCGCTTTTATTCTTTTACACTAAGTTTACTTTAAATTTCTATTACTCTATTGCTTTACGTTATTTTCACTCTATAGACGGCTCTTATGATTTTTTGAAGTTATTCAAAACGATGCCAACGATCTATATTTCATTGTAGATCTGCGTCCTGCTTTCTCGGCATCCGAGGCAAAACTCCATCTCAATCCGAATTGTGAAGCAGCTAACGCGGCTGTGGTTAAGCTTCCGATTTCACCTGAAAACGAAGTAAAACTTAGCGCTCAGCAGCAAGCGGCAGATGTTGTAGACGGCAGTGTGCACGTGGCTGAAGCTGTGGAAGCCACTGCGGCAACGATCACCTCGCCAACCTCCAATACGAGCACAACGGGTTGCAGCAACTGTTTCGGCGGCAAAAAGTGCAAACGTTGGGTGGGTGCGTCAAGCGATAAGAACACGCCTCAAATGTCGGAAGTGTATTGTCCGACATGCGACGATGCGGCCAACGAGACTCCAGCTTGTCTCAGCAAAATGCCCGACAAAAAGTCAAAGCCAAAACACAGAACCATATTAAGTGTGGAAAGCGAACTGATTGTGACCAAGCGAGGAAGTCTCCGGTTGACCGCCGGGGGTGGAGAGAAGAAAGGTGTGGTACGTAGCGCCTCTCTTAGTGCAGCTGATCGTAAGGTAAAGCGCACAGCTATTCCAGCTCAAAAGAAAGAAAAGGAAAAGGAAAAAGAAAAGGACAAGCATAAGGTTAGAGAGAAAGATAAGGATAAGAGCAAAGCTTCTACTTTACTTGCTAAGGTTTCCCCCAAACGAATCAAGTCTAAAACGGGCGCTGCCGCTTCAACAAAAACCAAGAACAATAATGGCCAAAAAGATACAAAGGAAACTCAGTTGCCAAAAGAAAGCAACAGTAATAACAACAGGACAGAAAAACAAGAAGCCACATCGTTGAAAGCCGAAGAATATGAAATAGCCGACGACGCAACTTCATTGAATGGCACAACAGTTGAGCCGAGCGAGGCTAAAATGGCCATACTAAGCGAGAAAGACACAAAGTTGATGATAAATGTGCGCGGCCGTGAGGAACTGCCCGTTGTAGAGCAGCGCTCGCCGCCAAACACAGCCGAGTCAGTTGCTTCCGGCAGTGACGACAGCAACACGACCAGCAGCAACCAAAACAGTCCATACTGTTTCGAGAAGTGTGTACGTGTACCTGTAAAATCAGAATGCCATCCATTGCAGCAGCAGTCGAGTCAGAAGACGCCTAGTGCAGCTGCTGCTGCAACTTTTGATAATAAGCGAGACAATAGCATGTCGTCGACTACTGCGACAACCTCAACGACAACAAAAGCAACTAAAATCACAGCACTCCAGCTTGAAACGCAGACTGAGACCGTGAACAGTGACTGTAATGGCAACTGCCACCTGATATCGCCACCAGCCACATCGAGTGCGCAGCGTTCGCCTATTTCACCTCCGCCAGCGGTGTCGGCTGCGGGCAGCGTCGAAAACGGTAGTGTGAGCGATGGAGGCGGTGGTGGCGGCGCTGGTAGCGGCAGTGAAAATGGTCATACCAATGCAACTTTACCACGAGCAAAACGCAACAGTGCTCAACACGCATTCTATCATCGTGCTCTGAGTTTGGTGCCAAAGCGTAGGACGCCCGACGGCACGAACATTTATTATTGGTGCGATTTGCCGCGAAAAGCGCTTAAAGGTTTGTTGTATGTTGTTTTTTTGTGTGAAGAGAGCTCGGCAAATTTTGCGAAGCACATACACAGTGTTGCAGTTCGCCAGAAGATCATTCGGTTTATTATATGTATAAGTACATGCTAGTAATACCACTTTAAACTGAACCGAAAATTGTTTATTTAATTGTAGAGTTGGACGACGGCGCTTACAATCCACTCTGGGCAAGTCGTGGTTTCACGCAAACATTTCACTTTTGGAAGGAAAATCGACGTCAACAGTCCACACCGCTCAACGCATTCCTCACCTATGTGACACTGCCTTGGTGGAGCATTGCTAAAGGTAAACGCATACCATATCGTCTGTTTTATGAAGAGAACACGCTAACGAATATATTTGTTTTACTTTGCAGATCTTCTGGATCATCGTGAAACGCCTATACTAACCTTTTAGTATTAAATTAGCCATTTTTATTTGCTTACTTCTATGTATTTCAATATACTTATTTAAAACATTATATTTATTAATATACCTGTATTTACATTTTTATTTATTAATGATTTTTATTAAGTTTATTACTTTATTTTTTTTTCACTCGATTTGCAATGCGAATTTTTAATCAATGCCACTAAAATGTTCTGCAATTTGTATTTTATTTTAATTGTGATACATTACTCTGTTTTATATAATTCAATTTATGTGATTTGTCTTGATATTTATGTGTGCTAATTTATTTTAATTACTTGCTTCACTGTTTGCATTTGTATTTTTGAAAACATTTTTTAAAAATCGATTATTTTACATAAAAACACACATCCCCAATCATAGCAAAAAACTAAGGGAACAAACTGATATTATTGATTCCTACACGCAAACACTATACAAACGGATAACTTTTAGAAATAAATGACATTACGAAATACATACATACAAACATTATAACAAAATGTTAGCCAAAAACCCTTTAATGCCGATTGCCATATAGAAAATAGCGCAAGCCGTTATATGTACATACATACATTCATATCGTCACCCTTATGCCAGAAGCATGAATGTGCAAATTTATCAGTTTGGAGCTATTGGGTTGACTTCATTAACCTTTGGATGTTTTATGTTATACCAAAATCCAGAATACCATGTGTACACGGAAACTCCATATTTTACAATTTCAATTGCATAAATGTAGAGTTAAGTCCAGTAAAAAAAACCTCCAAACTTGATTTCCCAGAATTTTAAATTTTACGCATTCATGTTTCTGGCATACGGGCGACGATATGCATGTACATTCAAAGGAAAGCGTGTCAAAATTAATATACACAACTGTTTATTTCGAACGCTAAGTACTCAATACAAGCTTTTACAATTCCAATTCCATTGAGAAACGATTTTGAGAGCTACAGATTGAGTGAATTAAATAAAAAATAAAATCAATGTTTCTTTTTTATTAATAGCACATGTATACAAAAATTACTTAACTGCATGAATAGAAATTTTTGCAACTATGAAAGTAGTTGCTAATCGTATGTTATTTTGTATGTATGTCTGGCATATTTGCAAGTGTAGTAGCGTTAACTAATACATATACATGCATAGCTGAAAGAAAGTCATAAAAAAAATTAAATAAAAAAATATATTCATTCACAAATTTAGAATCTAACTAAAGGAATGTTATACAAAGATTGTCATATACGAATTATACATGCATACAAATTTAAAAATAAAGTCAAAGTTATGAAAAATCTTATCAAATAGTATGGTATGAATAGAAATGCAATGTATGTATGTATTGAAAAATAAGTAAGTGTTTTAAGTATTACGTATTTCAAAAGTGCGGCGAAAATTCGAAAAAAAGTTTCTGGGTAGGGTTTTTCATCACTGAGTTGGCTAGAGGGCTCCTCTAACTCAGGAGTTCTTAAACTTTTAAGATGATGGAACCCTTACAAATCACCCTTCACTTCATGGAACCCCATATCAAATTACTAAAAATCGANCTTTTAAGATGATGGAACCCTTACAAATCACCCTTCACTTCATGGAACCCCATATCAAATTACTAAAAATCGAAGGCAGTGCCATTTAAATATGAATAAAAACTTTTACTAGAAATAGTATACATACTTTATATTTTAATGTGAAGAATGAAATTGTTTCACTGTTAACTATTGTATAAAATAGTAGTTCGATATAATGTCTGAATGTCCAAAACGATATTACTACTACCATCCGAAAAATAATTTAAGATTCTAGGTTATTTACCAATTGCCTAGTTATGACATTTCACATTTCATTTGGCAATTCATCGCGTTTCTTGTAGAAATTTTTATATAATTCTTTGGCTACAGCGGCCAACAACACATACCGGTTAGAAAAAAACAAGGTAGCAAACGCAAGCTCAACGCTCTTATGTAGGTATGGCACTCAGTACGGCAATCATACCAACTACAAGTACATATGTATGTATACTTGAAAATAGATAATTGCGTCTCGGTCAAGCTGTTTATAGAAATTTTCTTTCTGTGTGCAACTCAAACCGACCCCCGTGCTTATTGATCTCGCGGAACTTTTCTACGGAACCCTTGGGTTCCGCGGAACACAGTTTAAGAAGCTCTGCTCTAACTTGGGGTTTACATAGGAAAACTTTGCGAAGACAACAGGAATACATGCACACTTTATACTAATGCATTCACACTTCTCTCATTCAGCCTTATTGCATACTTGGTAAATTAAACTAAATTCTACGACTCAACAACATTGGCATTCAGCCTCATTGCGCAAGTCGTAAATTAACTCGACAACATTGGCATTGTCTACTGTCGTTCAGAAATAAGTAAACGACCGAAATCGTCGAAAAGTATCTAGTGCTGCCCAGTTGTTCCGTTTTAACACACTAGTCGAGTCGAAATGTTTGGCAATGACTTGGAATTTTCGATACGACTCGACTTTCGAAAAACGACTTGCACTCTACACGGCACTCGCAATGGGCTGATTACACAGGCCAACCAAACTGGAAAAAAAATTTGGTACGGCAAATGTTTAAGCTGTTTTTGATAGATTTGTTGGTGCCGATTTATATGGTAGACAGACGGAGAAAATTAATTTGAATTAATAAGCATCAATGCAAATTAAAATTTTACCTTTACAGATGGCAGTAATGCGAATAAACCAGCCGCAAGGTCGTGGGTTCGAGTCCCACGGCCAGTATACTTTTTTTATTTCTTTTTCATTCTTTTTTTTATAAGTTCTATATTTTTTTTACGTTACTTTCAGTTAGTTGTTGTTGAATTTTTAACAAAATTCATCTCTAAAAATTAAAATTAACTAATAGTAAAATAAGAAATGTGATATAAAATAAAGCAATTAAAAATAAAATAAAGTAAAATTATATATATAAATAAAATAAAGCAATTAAAAATAAAATAAAGTAAAATTATATATATAAATAAAATAAAATAACTCATGCATTTTCCTCTCTAAAATGAGCAAAAATCCAAAATCAGTTTTTGCTTTTCAATAAATAACTAAGTGACCATCCGATCAAGGTGCAGGGTTAGGGATACTAGTCGAGAGTTATAGCTTTAATTTAAGCCTAAGGGGAAGGTTCTATAACCTTTCATTTCTTTTCTAAAGCTTCTCAAATATTGCCGGAAACGCGATTTTTTGACACTTTGTTCTAATTTTTCTCAAAATCTGCAGCTGATGGAAACTACACACGTACGGATTTCTTAATCGGCACCAAAACATCTATCAAAAATAAGGTTGAATCGTCACATACGATATCGTATTACTCGTCACGTAAAAACACATTTTTCGGATTATGACATACGTGAGCGTTCAGCGTAAACGACTGATGAACATAATTTTTCTCGTATGGTTTTCGATCCGTGAACGGATGGTACGATTCGAGCCCAGCTTGAACATTTTCCGCACCAAAATTTGTTTCCTTTTTGGTTGGCCTATGTAATCAGTCTCATCGCGAGTGACGTGTGGAGTGCAAGTCGTTTTTCGAGAGTTGAGTCGTATCGAAAATTCCATGTCATTGCCAAACATTTCGACTCGACTAGTGTATTAAAACGGAACAACTTGGCAGCACTGCATACTTTTCGACGATTTCGGTCGTTTACTTATTTCTGAACGACAGTAGACATGCCAATGTTGTCGAGTTAATTTACGACTTACGCAATGAGGCTGAATGCCAATGTTGTTGAGTCGTACAATTTAGTTTAATTTACGACGTATACAATAAGGCTGAATGAGAAAAGTGTGAATGCATTAGTATAAACCGCAGGGTCAGGCGATATCGAGCTCGATATATTCAACGTATATCACACTGAAATAGGTGCGCTCCTCAGAGGTGAAACCCGTATGGTAGTTGGTGACTTTAAAGCGCACCACTACTTTGGCATTCAACCTGTCGAATGATGGTAAGGCAACAACTTGGCTGAGCAGATAGACGATTGGACATTCTGCACAATGAACGACGACGCACCCACCAGGATTATGGGCAGTTGTTGCAGCTCGCCTGACGTAAGCGCTGGTCTGCTTGACAGCATAACGTGGCGACTTATGCTGACTTTGGCATCAGACCATCCGTCCATAGTCATCTCGATTGATAAACCAGCCGCCTGCCCAACACCGAACCTATCTGAACTTTTCTAAAGCTGATTGGATCGGCTTCGCAAAAGTTACTGAAAGCAGCTTCTCTGCCCTCCCCAGACAAACCGACGTTCACGTAGGCTAACGTAAGTTCAGCAGGGTAGTCACTGCTGCTGCAGCTCCCTTCGTACCAGCAGGATATATAACGGACCCCCGTCCAAACTTTCCTTCGTCAGGAAGATCCCGGAACACCCCGCATTAGGGATCTCTATACGGAGATTTGACAGCTTGTGAAAGTACATAAGCGGAAGAAGTGGGAGGAGCATCTGATGATTTGCAACTTAACCTCTGGTGTGAGTAAGCTTTGGTCAGCCATGAGGTCATTGTCCAGCCCGACAAAGCGCGACGACGGAGTCGAAATCTCTTTCGGCGACTACGCCTCGTCGGATCCAGAGCGATACACCATCTACTTTAGTCGACAATTCACGCTGCATGCTCCGGCGGACAAATCCGAACGTCGAGTGACCAGAAGACTGCACAAACTTACAACACCAAGTGCGCCTTTTGCTTTCAGCAGCGGTGAGGTTCAGGTAGCCATCGGGAAGGTGAAAGCCTCCAAAGCCATAAGACCGGACGGAATATGCATGCTGATGCTGAAAAAATTGTGTCCTGAAGTGGATACCTCACCAAGGTCCCCACCCTATCATTGCCCACTCTCATCATACCAGATATCTGTAAAATGGGGAGCATGGTTCCATTGTTCAAATCGGGAAAACGACAAACAAGGGAGTCTTATCGTCAGATAA